ATATATATATATATATATATATATATATATCATAAAACATGAAATTTAAATAATTACATAATGGTCCTAAATGTACAACTTGCTATATTACAAAAGTAGCTACATATTTTTTCCATATAAGCCCAATACAAGACTTGTAAACCTAACAAGTTTCAAGTACAAATAATATAACATCTTCCAAAATCCACGTATGAAAAACAATCATGATCCCTTTACATTTTCTCATTTCCCTTATCCTCCGAATGTGTCTAACCTGTAATTCACATTTTAAAACACAAAATGAGGGTTAGAACATGAGGTCTAGTGAGAAATCCCCTTTTATTGCTATTATATAATGAAAAATCACCAAAACACTTTTAGATTTGTATAAATAACAAATAAACAATATTTTATTAAAACAGATCTATTTATAGCATCAGATAGATGAGACAAATTCATTTTATGGCATCAAACCCATTGTGGTATCAAACTTGTCGCATTAAATAGACAAGTAATCAAGTTGTCGCATCAAATATAAAGTACACCTCATTAATGCGATAACCCAAATTTGTAGCATCACATGCATGCAATAATATTTCCTCGCATCTCATTGATGTGATAACTCAAACTTGTCGCATCTCTTTAATGCGATAATCCCACATTGTCGCATCATACTAATGCGATCACCTCATTCCTCGCATCACAAGGATGTGATAAGATAATTGCTCGCATTATAAGGTTGCGATAAAACTAAATTGTCGCATCATAAATATGCAATAAGAAATACGATGACAATTTTCATATGATCAAAATCCCATTTTACGTGTAGAAGATTTTATCACCCTTATCTCAATATACGTATCTCCTGATTATGTTACTCTTATCCCAAAATACATTTTTGTTGATTATGTCACTCTTATTCCAACTGGTTGTTAATTAATAACACAGAAAAACAAAGAATGCTAAGAGTAGCATATAATCATTTTAAAATCATCTCACGTATAGAACCATACGGTTCTGTATTCACACAAATCAAATGATGATTTAAGATAAAACTAACTTATAATCACAAAGAGATGAGGATGATAAACATCAGTAAATTCAGCTAAGAATCACAACTTATTTCTTCTTCCTTCCTTCTATCTTCTGTTTGCTCGAACTCAAAGAGAACACAGAAGAATAAATCAGCTTCCTCTTTTCTTCTTTTTCAATCATCCCAAGTACAAGAAAATATCCCCATTAGACTCTCTTTTAAAAATATAAGGCGGTGTAACGATTTAAAATATTTTAAGCACAATTTCAAAACAACCCCTCAGCTTTCTTCCATTATTCAAAAGGAACCCCAAACTTTTATAACTTAAACCCCGTTATAACAAAACATGCCCCGAAGTTTACGTAGTGACAAACCCAAGCAGTGGGACGTCGCTTTGGCCCAAATCTAGTTCGCATACACAATATCATCGTACATCGCCACTGCCATTCCCCTTTCTCTTCGGTGTAAACTTCAACACCTAGACATGTGGTCAACTTGGCCAAACTACCCGGAATTCTGGAGTTAGCATAGCAGCAAAAAACATGGCAAGAGAGCTACAAGCAACTAAGGAAGCAGTCAAAGCTCAACTTGAAGCAACCAACTTGACGAACAAAGCGGTGGTCGACAAAAAATTTCACAAGGTAGATGAAGTGATGGTGTTCCTCTAGAAAGAACGATTCCCCCATGACACGTACAAAAAGTTGTAGCCACGAAAGTACCGTCTGTTTAAAATCACAAAGAAGATCAACGATAATGCTTATCCCGTCCCTCTTCTGGAATCATTACACATTTTGAATTCTTTCAATGTAGCTTCCATCTATAAGTATTACGCCGACAAAGTAAGCCTTTAGAAAAGAACTTAGGGTTGAGTTCTTCCAAAGTGGAGGAAACAGATATATAGAGGTAAGCAAACAAGATCGAGGAATGAATCAAGTGGCGCGACTTTCCCCGTGACCTAAGTCAAACAGAGGCTTCTGCAACTTTCCCCACAACCCAAGTCGCCTGGAAAGTCGCACCAAACACTAGACCTAGAAACAGTGGCTACCGCGTCGAAACCCGCCTAAGCACATGTTGATTCTCGCTGGTTACTACGCAGATAAACTCGCGTGGCTAGTTTCCCGTACCTACTTGGGCGTCCCACATCTTCGTTGATCAGCATCCATCGGGGTCAACCATTTATTTATTTATTGCCTTAGATAAGTTCCTTAAAAGTTTTAGGAATTATCTTTAGTGATATTTGCTTGATTTCCTAGTTAATTTAGAATTAGGATTGATTTAATTTCCATAATTATCTTTATTTAGTTTGGCTTATAAATAGGGTTATTATTTTCCTTAGTAATCAGATTATCAATTATTAAAAGTTCTTTTGAGAGTATTCTCTTGAGTTTTACATTTGTAATTCTCAATAGTTAATAAGTTTTAGAAGCTTGCCAAGTTGGCATTGTATGTAGCTACGGAATCCACGTTTACTTTTAGCGGTAGACTGCTTTTGGAATTGGAATTGGAATTGGAATTTGAATAGACATCACATACACAACAAACCCAAGTCCGGTTAGACCAACTTTTCTTCCCAAAAGCCCAACCTGAAAGTGGGCCCAAAAAGCCCTTTTTCCACCCTAAAGAGTAAAGCCTGAGTCTGAAAAAACATGAGCTTTTTTTTACTTACCCAAAAACGGACTTGGAAAGCGTAGGTCTTTTACATCTCTAGTTTGAGCTTTGTGTTTGCCTCAAAGATCACTTGAATAACTATGTCGGGATACAAGAGGGAAGCCAATCTTTCAGAACGAATGACATAATTTAGAAGCGATACTTAGGGGCCGTTTACCAATGCTTAATCGGTAAGTGCATATCGATGAGAGTAACACTTTAACTTACCTTATCAGATAAGATTTTAGTTTATTAAAACGATATCGTATGCAACAAATATATACGATAACGTTTACGGGGTAAGAGTTGACTCTTGGTCTCTGTCATCATCTCTTACCATGTAAGATTTTCACTCTTTATCATGTTCATACGATAAAATAAAGTGACTAAGTAAGCCGCTTACCGGGTAAATATTTAGTAAATGACACGTTAATTGGACCCAAAAAAATGATTTTTGTAGAAGTCTACGATTGATTTTTTTTTTCCCTTTCAAAAGGTATGATTTTTAAATAACATACGAATTTTAGAAAAACATGTTTTGTATATTTATTAATCAAATAAACAAATTATTATTTGATTGAGTAAATAACATTTTACAAATTTTCTTACTTAGTAATAATAATATAATATAAAGTAAAAGAACTAATAGTTATAACTTAAAGTTAATAACTTAATATTATATAATACATAAAAACGTAAACTTGTATTAAAATGAAACCAACTTTCATCTTATTCTGATTTTGAGAAACCAACTTTAAAATTATTATTGTAGAGTTTAAACCAAACTTTACATATATTTAAGGGTTTGATTAACCTAACTAATGATGATATGGATCATGTGAATACCAACTAAGATGCATATATAAATGAAAATAACAGATCATTAATTCATCCCCGTCGGCGCCTCCTTCGACTTATCCTTCTTTAGTGGCGACGCCACTGTCATGGAAGATCATAACTTCTATGGCAATTTTTTTATATGAAAATGCAAAAATCAAAATCAACATTTAATTTTATCAGTAACTTAATTTTTAAGTTATGGAAGATACAAGATTGTTAATCATTTGTTTTATTTTGTGATAAAATTATACTTTTGGTGTTTTAACTTGTTTCTTGAAGTTTTAATCATAAAAATAGTTATTGATGTTGTTGTAACAATCAAATGGGTCGTTTATTAAGCACGTACCGGGTAACTGGTAAGCATTGATCCGATAAGGAATAATAATGACTCTTGCTGGTAATGCTTACCTGGTAAGCATTAGATAAACGGTCTCTAAGACTACTCTTCTCTCAACTAACCTCGTTCAATTAGCAATGTAAGGCATAAATTAAGCAAGACTAATTTAACTCATACGTTTCTCTATCAAGACGACTTATAAATGGTGTAACATTATATAAGATTTGGGCTTTTCAGATAACACCATTACTTTATTCGTCTAACTTTACTACTTGTAGCCTTTTTTCCCCAAACATCTGTCCAATTTCTTAACTCGATTGCATAAGATCATTTCATGTGATTTTATTTTATGTAGTTTCATGTTATTGTAAGTGTACTAGCTTGGGGTGTTAATAGTGCGGGTCGGTGTGGTTTAGATGTAAAACTGTAAACCAAACTGTGTGCATGGTTTGAGCATTTTTCCAAACCAAAAACCAAACTGTGCATGCCTCAAATCGCAAACCACAAACCATACCATGGATATTCTAAACCACACGCTTTGGTGTGGTTTGGTGCAATACAATGGAGTACCATACATTTATATTATGTCACTCTTGACTTTATTTTATGGTTTTATGTGGTTTTCGGAGAGCAGAAGTCTACTAACTATTTGTTTTACGAAGTATTTTGCATTATTAGTATGGCTCAATGTTTATCTTGTATTTGAACATTATTATCAAAGTTAGATTAATGGAGTTCAAATGTATTAAGTTATACATATATAACAATTTGTAAATGCTTTATAATATTGTATGAATATTCTCGTGATAAATTTTTTGAAATTAAGTTAGAAAATGGAAAATAAATACCAAATTAAAAAGAATAAGATGCTCATTTTTTTTATATAATTTGTTTGATTAAAAAAAATAATCTATACTATATTATAAAGCATTTGACGAAAACTCTTAAAAACCATTTTTTATGCATGAAGTATTGTTTATTGATAAATATTACTTAAAATTCAAGATTACAAGTAAATTGTGCATAAGTACAACTTATTAAAGTTTCATGTTTGAATTCATGTAACTAACTGCAGATAAACATAATCAAATAGAGAATAAACATCTCATTTTAAAAATAAAAAATCTAAATATAATTAGGATAATTATTGAATTTTAACAGAATATTTAATTATTTTCTTAAAAAAATTATTTTTTTAAACCAAAAATAAATTAGTTCATTATTAAACTTTAATTAAATTATAATAAAAGATTGAATTAAAAAAATTACACAAAAACAAGAACTTTTAAATAGTTAATTTAATAATAAGATCGATTATTTAAAAAAAAATTTATAATATCTTCAAATTTATATTTCATTTAAAAATAAGAACATTTTTTTTTCCTCAAAACCATATAAAATCGTATTATAACATCGATACACCCAAAATATAAATCAAACATTAAAATCAAAATGTATCTCACTACATTGTACGAATACCCTTCTACTTGTATTTAAAATAATTTAGTTTTATTTCTAATTTGAGATAGATTTGTGAGTTTCCAAAACATAATCCATTCATTTTAAAAGGATAATACGAGTTCTCCAAAAACACTTGAACCTTGATTATCATCCTTACATGGTTTGGTTCCGATGAGAAACATAAGAAAGGATCTTCACTCTTAGATGCAAATCAGGATAAGATGCACCAGATCAATCCTCATATCAAATGTGATTCATGGGTGGGTTTAAGAATAAAAATGATCAAAGGTCCAGATCCCTTCCCACTTTAAATCTCCTCCTCACACAATCTTTCAAAGTTAAACAAAAAACTAAATCAAACGAAACGAACCCAGTATAGAAGGTAAGGTCCTAGATAGAGACTTGACCAATTTAAATCTTAATGAGGCCAGTACTCATTACATAATAATCAAGTAGCGACAAATAAAAGAATGATGAAATCCCAGATGATAATTAAAACACAAATATCTGGAGGAAATTAAGATTTTGTACCAGCAATGCAATTGAAACCAACATAAATGAAATCAGATCAGTTGACCACCATCATCATCATCACAACCAATCCGTACCAACCTGAAAATCCAATGGATCTGGCTGCTGCAGAAGATGTATCTTGTGGCCTGAGAATATCATCCAAAAATATCATCAGATATCTATATAAATATACATATATGCACCTCGTAAATCTAACTCCAAAAAAAAAGGCAGTATCTGTATACATACGTCTGTAAACGGCTGAGGGCGCCGCAGAAAAGAGCATTGTCGGGCATTGGCAATTCCGTCTTGTTGTTTTTCTCAGGATTAACGATTCTGATATATGTTTCTTGACCAAGATACCAGGAATCAAGATTTTCGGTTCTCAGGTTCCAAACTCCTACGTTATCTAGAGAGATCAATACTGCCGTCCATGCTCCAGGATAAACCTAGATTAAATTCGAGATCAGATCATCAAAATATACACTGGAATGAATCTAGTTCAAGAACCCATATCTTAACCAATGATTCTTGAAAAGATTCTTGATTTCAGACCAACATACTTCACTTTTCAAGAAGAAAAATGTTTAAAACTAGCGAAATGAACAAGCTCATTCGAGAAGTACCTGTGTAGTGGAGCGAGCAATGCCATCCCATTTATTGTAAGTTCCTCTGCTATCATTTGTCCATTCACCATAACCCATTCTAAGATCAAATCACACGTTAAAACATAAGATTTCAGAAAATAAGACACGGAACATAAAAGATGGGAAAGAACTTCTCATACCCGACTACAAAAAATGCATATCCATCAATGTGATAACTATGCATCTTGGTCTCGTTGTTTTGCAATATAACTTCCATAAATCCCCTATAAGTTCCATTGATAACTGATGTTTCCATCCTAGGTGGTCCTGTAAGAGGCTCAGTAGGAAAATCGAGCTTATATGCTCCCTTCACTTTGTACTGATCAGCAAGCCGGATTGGTGTGGTCGGGTTCACAAATGAGACCCCGCTAAGTGTAGCCCTTCGTTTCCCATTAATAGTCACGGGGGGCTTGTTTCTCAGTAAGTACACTTCAGTCACGTTAATAGAACCGTATTTAAATGAACCCTGTGGATTCGGGCGCGCCCCACTAGCCGATACATTCCACCTTCATATCATTGAACATAAAGAAAGTGTCAAATCACTAAATCATGGTTCAGCAATTCATCAACATCCACAGTTGTTGCTATTTGACTATGGTCATGCTCGGCAACTATAAACTAGCTTATGCTTTTAGCTTATTAAAAAAGCATTGTTTGCTTAGTCATAAACTGGCTTTTAAGCTGGTTTTTTGAAAAACTACCTCAAGTAACGTTTCAATAAGCTCCCCCGCGGGGGGGGGGGGGTTCAATTATGCCCCTTATAATTTTCCAATTAATTTTCCAGCATGTCCTTTTAGGTCATTTTACATTATCCTTCAGTTTATCAGCTAGTTTTTACCAAGCATGACTAGTTTATAAGCTAGCTTATCAGCCAACATGGAACAACTATTTATGAGCCAACAGTTTACTTTTCAGCTAAACATAGCATGTATAACTTCATAAAGTAAGCGAGCCTACCTGATGGACCTGGCTTGGTTCATTGAGAAGGTATTGTCATACTGGTCTTGAGGAGGGTCGGGAAGGGGACCAGATGCTTTTCCTTTAGAATTTGAGTAGTGCAAGATGGCGACACCAGTAACTTTTTGCCAGATCGATTGGTTTACAAATCTAGCACTAGCAACGACGTAGTAATCGCTGCTAGCATTCTGATCCATGGTAATTAAGAACGAGTATGTTTGTCCAACATGTATGTCTAAACTAGTATAGTTTTGTTGCACCGTGTATGATCCCTCGGTTTCAGCTAAAAGTAAATTATGGTTCTGAATTCTGAAGTTCAAACTAGTCGATACACCAACGTTGCTTACACGAATGCGGTAAGTTTTGCCTGCCAAAGTCCCAATTTCACTTTAATATAATATGAATATCAGAAATAGCAAGACTAATAAATCTAATGAGTAGTTCAAGTATTAGTTACCTGGTTCGACGTTAATAATTTCGTGATCAATGCCATCTGGGACAAGAGTATCATTATATCTGAAAGGTCCTTTTCCGTTTATTAGAACACCATCGGGCATTCCAAGACTTCGACCAGCATCAAGGGTCTTTCTTAAATCCTATTAAAAGGGGAATCAACAGTTGCATAAAACCTAACATCACACACAACAAAATTAAAAGAAACTTCACTGTGACATTTCATCGAACACTTACAGTGTGGTTCCTTATGTACCAATCACCAATCAAGACTGTAATATCCCCAGCCGGATTATCAAATGGGGTCGGAATGACAGACCTTGGGTTAATAATAAAGCTACCAAAACCACCCGACGCTCTTTGAAAATTGAGCGAAGGGAAGTAAAAGTAGCTGCCGATTTGATCCTTGACTTGAAAGTTATAAGTCCAGTTCCACTTTGGGGGAATTGGACAATTAGTACCAAGAACACCATCTTGCCAAGAACTCCTCTTTTGCTGTATACCAGCCCTGTTTCAAAATCAATATATAATCCAATTCAATCCCACATCCACTGTTGTGATGAACATAAAAGAAAAAAAAAAATCTAACATTGCCACTTCAGATTCATGATATGAAACACCAAAAGATTCATCAATTTGCACAGTGATACAACAAGAAAAGAAGATCTTACCAAGTAATAAGGACATTCTCATCTAGTTTGTTTCTCACATTGACAACAACATTGTTGTTAGTAGTTGAATTTATGGTAGGGCCAGGAAATTTTCCATTGATGGCGATAACCTAAAAACCCAGATTCAAAACAATGCAGGTTAATATTTAAGAACATCAATTCAAACAAGTCAAACTACAAGAGCCTACAGTCGTCCTGTAACAACTCAGCTCTGTTAAATCTAAGAACATTCCCAGATCTGAGCCTAAGAAGCACCAAGTTCTGAAAATCAGAACACACCCCTCAATCTATTACACATAACCGACAAAGAAACTGATTTTTTCGAGAATTAAAACTAGCCCATTAATCTTTTGAGAGCAATCAAGCAAAACCCACTTGAGAAAACACTAATTACTGTACTAACTCAAAGTCTAAAACCGACCCATCAACGAATCCTTAAAATTTAGGAAACCCCAGTTGAAAACACCCAAAAAATGCAGTTACAAATGAAATCAATGAAGGTTTTACCTGTTGCGGGACTCCAAGAGGTGAAGCGGTAATATAAGTAAGTTCAAATTTGTAGGAAACAGTCGGATCTTCAGCTAAAGTGAAGCTCAGAAACAAGGAAATGTAGACGAAAAGGAGACAATAGAGAAAGCTAGAAGAAGCAGCCATTAATTGCAAAAGTTTTGAGGGTATTATCTTGCACTCAAAGATAAAAATGTTGAATCAAATAACTTTGCAACGTTTTTTGGGTTTTACATTATCAGAGGGAGGGAGAGAGAGAGTGTTTAGAGAGAGAGAATGGAGAGTGGGAAAGAAAGGATGGAAGAGGAAGTGTTTCTTTAGGGGTTGGGGTGGGGACAGATTGCAAGAAAGTTAAAGAAATGGGTTGGGTGGCAGGGGAAATTGATCTCAAATATTTGCTGGTCTTTGCTGGCATCTCATCATAATCATGATATGAACATGCATGGACATGGACATGAGAGAGAAACACAAATAAAGAAAGGAGGAAGAGTGTGGAATAGTTGGAAACACAACACAAAATGGTTACCCCAATTTAGGTGCCATCAAGAGGTGTCTTTCAAAAGATTGTGTTTTAATTGTTTCTTCTTTTTTTTCATAATTAAGCATTTAAATGCTTAATTCATACCATCAAAATAGATATCGTAACCATTTGCGTTTTTAATTGTATCGTATGAATTAATATAAGGTCAGAATTAATCTTTAATTGTAAAGTTCTTTACTTGATTATATACGCTATCAAGATTGAAATATTTCAAAAAATCATAAAAATAAAATTATGCTTTATGTACCATTTTCAATGATCATTACTCGAGAACTCAACCATGAATTCTCGTAAATGACGCCTTCATCATTTGAGATTAACCATCTCATCAATATCATCATTGTTCTTTTTTCTTCTTTTATAATATTCATCGTAACTTTTCTTTTATGCCTCTAATCAATTGGTTATAATTACTTGATTCACTTTTAGTCAGCTTTTTTTATCTAAACAATAACTGATTATATATTTATCTACTCATTATATAAATACAATAAAGAGAATATTTTAAAAATGAATAAATACTCATATATATTACATTAAAAAAATAAACTAATATAATCTTATTTATAATTAAAATATATTGTGTATATATATATATATCTTTCACTCTAAAAGATACTATATTTTTCGAAATTGATATCGCGTATATTTAATTAAGGTATTAATAGATGTATTTAAATGAGATAATAATTAAGTTAAAAGAAACTTCTATTTATAACTATAATAAATACTAAATACTGAAGGGGGTGATGGAGCCACATGGTTTGCCAGCTCATGTGGGACCCAACCAATGTGATTTTACATTATTTGTATGTAATTGGTTCAGCCGTGATTGGTGCTTACGTTTCCGGCTAACGGTTCCAGGCATAAGTCAAAGTCAAAGCCGGACATTATGGCCTATGGCATTCTCATACGGTGGAGTCGGTCTACCGTAAACCTTTATGGTCTATACATTTGAATTCTCAATTTTTTAAAATTTTATTATTTTTAATATGACTAATAATTATATGTCTATATATTTTCTTTTGAAAGGCATCAACATATTTTAAAAAAACCAATAAAGCTATAACAAAAAAGGGAGCTAACTGTGAGTGTAGGAACCCACCAAATCAAAGATAACAGACAGAAAAAAAAACAAGAATAATATGATCCAACCAAAATTGAATCGGCAAAGAGAAACGAGGAACTCATCTGGCAATCTGGTATGTTGAGGCAATTCAACGGTTCCAAGGGATAAAAACTTTACGAGATCTTCTTGAAATCCAATCATACACTTGAACCCGTAAGTCAGCAAACGCCGCCTCCACAGATAACGGTTTCTTTCTAAAAACCGTGTTATTTTGATGATCCCAAATCAAGTAAGATGTTGCCAAATAGTTGCTTGCTAAATCTTTTTGAGAGAACCTAAATACATAGCATCGCCTGAATGTTTAAAGCGTCGTTTAGTGTGTTCTCCAAAATTGAAGTCTAGACCCACCATTGTAGAACCGATCCACATATTTCCTTTTGTGAACATGCATCCCACGAGATAGTGCTCCAACGTTTCCTGGATTTTATTACAAATAAGACAAAGCACCGAGTCTAAGTCGAGTCCTCGATCCCCCAAAGCCACCCGAACTGGAAGTCTTCAAAGGAGAGCCCATCCATATGAAGATGTTGATCTTTATAGGAAGAAGAGTGTTCCAAAGGGTTTCCGAAAGACTACCGCCTTTATTTAGAGTTTTCTCTTCAATTAACGGCTTCAATTTTTTGACAGAAAAATAACTCATCATTGTCTAAAAGCCACGACAACCGTTTCATGTAACTTATTGATGGCTCATCCCCTGGGATCCCTACTCTACTCCCAATTCCAAGCCCAACAGCCCTCTACCCAACAACCCTAATTACCAACTTTTACTCCCTTATTTCTCTTCAATCTAAACAGTCGCAGGAATTGTTCACATAAGAGGAAGTTTGCCCAACAAGTTTTTTAATAAACAAAGAAGATAAATCTAATCCAAGGGAATCCGCAACCAAACCCAGAGAGATAATGTTGCTCCAAATGCCACCTTGACCTCTAAATTTACGAAACCCATCTAGCCCAAACCCCCTGTCAACAGCGTATAAACTACTGACTACTTTGACCCATAAGGAGTTCTTTTCATGACCAAACCTCCATCACCACTTATGCTATGTTTGGCAAACTAGCTGATAAGAATGTAAAATAACAAAAAAAAAAAACATCTTGAAAAACTAATCAATATTTTAAAATATAATTGAAACAGATCTCTAATAATATAATATTTAAGTAATACAAATAAGATAGTAAAAAAAATTAAAAAATACAATATATTGATTATAAGAATTTCAAATTGATTATTATATATTATAATATTTTAAATTTGTTAATACAAATTTTAGAGAAAAAATCTATTAGTTATGATTTTAAATAACCATTACATATAATATGAATAAAAAATAAAAATGATCTACCTCACATATCCTAATTAATTAATATCTTTTTAAAAATATATTTAATAATTAAATTAAATATTTTATTCAAATTATTTGACACATTTTATTATCTATGAAACAAAATAAGTATAAATTTAAAGTTTATATTACATAAACATTATTAAAATTGTTATATTTGCATTTTGATAACTAAATACATTTAATAATAATATAAAAATAATTAATATAATTAATAATTATTGTAAAGAATTAATAAAAAATATTAATGAATAATGTATAATTAATAATTAATTTTTAATTTATACTAATAATTAATATCTACTAATGTTGGTAATATTTAAATTTTATTAATATTTGTTTTATAATTAATAGTAATAAATAATAATTAATAGTAATGATAGATGGTCAAACTATTAATTGGTTTTGACTCATATTATCAAATGTTTATGTTTAGATTCAGATTGTTAATTATTTAGGTTTAGTCTTTTTTATGCTTAACACATATGTATGGTCTCTTATTTCACAATGTAATAAAAAAAAGGTTAAAATGTAGCATATTTTTCAAAAAATTGAAACATCATTGATTGAAAAGTGAATTATAGATTTGGTCCCCGTGGTTATATCAAAAATATGTATTGTGTCCCACGAACGAATTAATTACGTATATTGTCATCCTGTTTCCATTTTTATTGCGGATTTGGTCCCTCAATCTAATTCTGCTAGAATAAGTTTAGCTATATAAGGGGCAATTTTGTCTTCTTATCAAATAATTAAAAACATTTGAAACCCAAATAAAGATTACAACGTGTCCATCCATACCTAAGATCTCTTCCCATATCTATTGAGTTCAAGCATCTTCGACTTCCTTCTTGATCTTCGGCTAGCAGGCGTCCTTCCCAATCTCCGACCACCACTAAATTCAGTCTCTATCCGCACTCCAGCCACCACCATCTCTAGACTGTTGATGTATATAAAGCTAAAATGAAAAACAAATTTGGATGCAATCCTCTTCAAGAACCAGCAAAAAAGCAGAAATCTAAAAACGAACAATAGATTTGGAAGCAATCATCTTCAAAAATAGCCATGAAAAACATACTTCTCCAGCCATCAAAAATTCAAAAAACAGACCTGTCATCCTAAGAAGATGTATGAGATTCTGGGGGATGGGGATAGAAGCTGTAATCATGTATATATAATTATAGACATCATCTTAATATATAAAAGAATATCTAAAAGTATATTATTCTTTTATAAAAATAACTGAAAATTTAAAAAAACCATGTTACCCTTGACTTAACAGAGATAAGGTTAATGGTGTTAGAGCAAGAGACATAATCCGTAACAGAATTGAAATCACAATGACGACGTCTGTAATTAACTCGTTTCGAGGACCAAATCCATACTTTGATATAACCACAGTGACCAAATATGTAATTTACTCTTGAGTGAATCTAAATTTTACAAGTCATGATTGCAAATCGATTTTTATTAAAGGAGGATATAACTACCAGAATAATAAATAAATAAAAAAAGGCATGGTATATTATATGTTTTCGTGGTCAAGGGTTCGAATTTCAAGAGAAAAGAATCTTATGTTACAAGAAACAAATCTATTGTTTCTAAAAGATCCACAAGTTTGGCAACCATGGATTTCTGAGGTTGTATTATAAAGTCTTGTCATAAAAGTAAATTTATTAAAATATTATTTAAATCAAATATTTTTATGAATTCTATGAGTTTTTACCATTTTTAAAATATTATGTTATGTTCCTAATATTATTATTTTTATTGTTATCAATCATTATTAATTATTGGTTATATTAGTTAATTTTTATCATGCTATTATTATTATTATTATTTAATAGATGGACAATGAATTTCGATGTATTAAGTGTATTCATATTTACAATAAAAATCTTTGGAGTCGTGATATAAATGGTCAACAATGAGATCTAAGATAAAACCCAAATGATCACATGCATTTGTTCTTAGGGTGTACATCCACATAAAGATATGAATTGTACAATCATATTGACCAAAGTACTAATTCCATCTTCCATATAAAGTTTTTAGAACAATTATCATTTGGAGATGGTTTTTGTAATAATTTTATATATTATTTAAGTTCTGATAAGAATCTTACATATAAGAATACTGTGAATTGACACTTTGTTAGTTTTTTTTTTAATATATTTTGTTGATTTTATACTTATTTACTAATGTTGGAGAAATACATGAAACCAACAAAAAAGTTCTTAGCTCCAAATTCAAATATATGTCTAAAACTTGATGTGGTTGAGATGCTTTAATGCAAATTTGTATTTAGCTTGTATGAGAGGCTCTTTTAGTGGTTTTTAATAAATATAAATTAGGTTATTTTTACATTAAAAAAATTGATTAAGATCAGAAAGATGTTTCTCAAATATGATCATTTTAGTGATTAATCTTTCAGCGCGATCATACAATTGCTCCATGGTAATTAAAGTTGTCTCTTGTTTAAAAAAAACATGTCATCTTGTTGAAAGCATTCCTTACTTATCTGAATTTTTTTTTGTTATATAAAAATTAAAATAATTTGTGATTCGGGAAAATGTGAACTCTTTTTTCGTAACCGCTTGTACAAAAAAAGTGTGAATTATTTCCTTCTTGTCATCATTAAAGAGAATTAATCATTTATAGGATTTTAAAATCTTACGGTTGGCTCGTCTCAATTAAAATAAAAGCAAAGGGACCATCAATTTTTTTTACCCCATTGTAAACTTTACGCACACTCACCTACCTCTCTGGCAATTCCTTACACACACCTACCTCCTCGACGATTACTTATGCACACCAACTCTCTGGCGAGCTTTTTACGCACAAATAATGGCAACGACCAAGTTAGTGCTTAAACTTGCTATTTGTCATGGACAAACCATGTTTTATGCTTAAACTTGCTAATTTTTACACTTTGTTTTAGATATGGGGTGGGTAATGCACCTCTATATATAATATAGCTAAGAGCATCTTCAAAGACTTCTTCAAAATGGAGAAAATGAGGATTTTGAGCTAATATTTTGTTCAAACAACTTCTCTTTAAAACCATCTCCAAAATGGAGAAGGTATGAGACAAAATGGGTTTTTCTCTGAATATCGTGAACACCCCAAAAATGATTACCAAATGAGATCATCAATAGGGTACCTTGAAAAATAAATATTTAAATAAAGAAATAATATTTTAATATTATAATCAATGTTGGATTCTCCAAATGAAAAATCTATTGGAGATGAATGTAATATTTTTCTAAGATTTTGACTTTTGGTTCTTCATTTTGAAGAAAATTTGAGGAATATGTTGAGATACTATGGTATAGCTAAATGCACCATTAACTATTAATTTCTTATTTACACACATAAAATCGACATAAAGGAGTGTAAACAATTTTTTTACATTTCAGTGAAATAATCCCATCTGATATTGACATAAATGAGAGCACATATAAGAACACCCTTCATTATCTATACTCCTTTATGAAAAGAGGAGTTACAGATTTACGGTTATCTTGGATTTTTGAGAGGTACAACTAATTAAGCATAATGTGCAAGCTCTTAAAGTTGCATAACCTCCCAGAATCTTTCATACCATTTTTTATAAATTATATCATTATAATCTTCTCATCAATACCTTCAAAATGAGCTCAATATTAAATATTCTTTAGTTCAGTCGTACTACTAAAATGTGTTTTTTTATTACAAAGTATATCATTGTAATCATCTAGTCTACACTTCAAAATAAACCCATTATTGAATGCTTTTGCATTTAATAATACTAGAGAAGATCATAAATACGCACGAATCTATATTGTATTACAAAAGGCCTTAAATGGTTATTTATACTCCTTTATGATGCACCACTTATGGTTATATTGAACTTTTAAGAGGCGCATCTTTCAAAACATGTACAACCGATTCATGCGAACAATTGAACTGCCCTTTCATCATGTTCCGCACAAATTCCTCTCCTCTCACCTCTGTGTTGAATTCATTTGTTTCGTTTTACTATCGGCCTATTTTTTTTGAAATATTCTGGTGCCTAATTTGTTTTTATCATGATAGATATAGTTTTCGAGTATTACTACTACATTTTTCCGTATTTTTATTCAAACATAAATTTTATATTTTATTTTTCATTTACAAGTTGCAAAAACTATAAACCACTAATTAATGCATAAATCCATCTTCAAAATGCAAGAACAACAATATTATGGATTAAAAAACACTGTTATCGAACTACTCTATTCAAAATCATTGGTCAGTGAACATATTAACTTTGAATTTATATATCAGTTTATTTACAATTTAAAAACCACAACAAACTATAAAATTAACATGAGAGGGACAGAAAATAAAAGAAGACTCAAAACAAGATCACCGTTTTAGATTCTCGACTTTATAATCGGAAATTTTTTAAGTTAAATTTATTTATTTATTAATTAAATAAATAAATAGACGGGGTTCATTTATTTGAACCAGAAAAGCTAATTGGGCTGGGCTATGGTCGTACAACTTGGACCAATAATTTTAATGGTAAAATAAAATATCAAACAGGTTTGAATCAGCGGTGGCAATTTTGTATTTTGTAACAAACCAAAACAATTGATATATTTACTAACTGTATCAATTAAATTAATATTAATTATAGTCGGTCAGTAATACTGTATTAATTATATAAATTTGGTTGAGTATATGGTATTGAAAATTGTATACCATCGTAGTATCATGGTAGCGACTTATTTTTATTATTTATTAGTTTAACTTTTTATTTATGTATCAAACATATTAAACATTATAAGTTTAATTATTTTGTTTGAACGTTTGAATGGTTGCAAGTTTTATTTCCTACAAATAAAAACCCTTTAACATCACATGTGTTTTACGTGGAAACTTAAAATTTGAAGAAAGTAACAAGTTGGTATTTGGTGTTGGTACCAAATACAGTTAGTTGGTACATGCATGGTATAAGATTTTGTATATCAATTATAATTGGTTAGTACACCTCAAATGGTCTGAAATGTTAGTATTAATTAATAATAGTTTTATGTAAAATATTAAATCCGAAGAAAATCGAGCAAGGAGTGCATCAATTTTGGTTACAAACGCGGGTGAGGGGGTGTTGGGTTGCAACCTGGGTTTGTTGGGTCAGAGCAGGTATGTCCAGGGGCGGATCCTTGGTTCCGCTTGTCTTGGGCATTCGAGTCGGGACCGGCTTGGATGAGACCCAATCCGGCTGGGGGTTCCTTGTTTTGAGGCTAAAACCTCGCTTGTTTTTGCTACTTGGTTGGCTTGCTGTTTTTATTTAATTAATTTGACATTTAAGAGTCATAAAATGCATTAAGTATTTAGAAGAAGGATCTTGTGACAATGGGAGTTAAAATGAGAAGTGTAAGAAAAAATTTGGACCCTTGATCACTTTTGATCTCAAGTTAACACATGAATTATGTTTTAGAAATGAATTGATCTGGTGTTTTTCATTAGTGTGGATTTAGTAGAGCTCTTCAATTATGATTGATCCAAGAATAAAGATTCTTTTTTACGTTTCTAACCATAATTTTTATTTTCATCTAAACTCAACCTATATTATTAATAAAGCATTCTGTTAAACCAAGCTTAATGATAGAGTATTATTAGCTTAACCCATTCAGTGGTCAGTGATTTCATGAGAGTGGGACTTTTTAAGTGAATTTCTATCATTTAATTAATTAGTTTGCGGTTGATTAAATACTTAAATAATATTAATTTTATTAACGAGTAACTACTATTTAAATGCAACAACATAAAGTAAGGTACTCATTTGAATAAGTTGGGTCACCGTTGATGATAAACGAGTACAAGGGCCATGAATGAAGTTCAAGTACTTAGAATATGTACTTGATCTATGTTCAGTGCAAATTACGTGTTAGTCTACGTCAATTTATGTGAGCTCTACCTGATATACATAAATGTTTATATGTTATAATAATATAGCCTTTGTATGTTAGTGAGTTATGTGAAATATCGAGTATGATAATGTATTGTTGTATGTAAGAACTTTGTTTGCATTGGTGGTGTGTGCTAGGGACGAAAAAGCCCAAAGGGGTACAACTCTTCAAGCGATGGTTTGCTTTGCCAAGTCAACAATGAGCAACCAGAATTATCGAAGTCATTTTGTGAATTTGTTAAGTAAGTACATGAATTTATTAATCGAGATGTAGTTATTAAATGCATAATGTTATATTGTGAGAAATTTGATTATGTTATATCAAGATGAATGTCATATATTAGATTGCGTTATTTAACTGACCAACGTCATGCATTTCAGGAGTCACCGAAATTGAGAGTGAAATGAAAAGTAAGCCATAACCTAGATATTAAATGCCTATTAATTCGTTATGTTAGCTATCTAGAAAACTATTAGAGTTTACAATTTGTATTTTCGGTTATGACGGTAAGTCAATATTCTACTCCTTATGTTGAAAAATTATAATATTTCCTTATAAGTTAGGCGAGCATCATATTTTCCTAAAATGAATTTAAGGGTGTGAAGATAGCTTTGCATTAATCTTCACCTTCTCCCATTGTTTTAGGTTGATGTTTGGTGTTGGGTAGTTAAATGTAGTGATTAACTTCCACAGCTTGTACTAATTCCCCTAATTTTGAGTTTGGTGGATACGTCATAATTTGAGCATGGGCCGGTCAACACAACTACACAGCTTCATTCATTTTTGACCCCATTACAAATTTAATTCATTAGCTAATCCATGTAACTATCCCACTTTGACCCTTCAGTGGATAAAGGTAAGCATTAATCTATAGAGATCCAAGGAGTTGAAATCTTGAGGTTAAAAAGAAGAATGGGAGTAGTGATAAATGAAGCAAATACGAGAACTCCCAAATTGATTCCATGACTCATAATTAACTTAAAGAAAAGGAATACATGTTTTTGCTAGACAAGCCTGCAGTTCCCACAGGCCACCACTTATTCACCAAACTCTAAACTTAACACTAACACACAAACATATCTGTACCCAAATCATCTTAATTTTTCTTATCCACGTGTTCCTTCCATTTCACCAGGGCCTTAAGAAAGTCTCGGACCTGCAGGAACAAAAAAAAACAAATTCATATAAAGAAATACGAAGCTGAAGTTAAAAGTCATGCAAGTACACTAACCTCTGAAGTGTCCCTGAGAGACAAAAAGGCTTTGCTTTCTTTGGGCACTGAAGACACCAAAATTCCGTATCCACGGTTTCCTTCTCTCAAAACCTACACGTTTTAGAGACCAACATATTTGATCAAATGACATTGTAGAGTCACCTAATTAAAACATTTGTTATTTATTAATATACCTTGAATGCGTCTTCATCTGTTCTATCATCACCAATATAAATCGGAAGCACGTCATCATTGTTGCTTAGCCCTGTTTCCAACATATTAATAAAACCAAAACTTTATTAAACTAAGAATGTGGAAAGATTTACATTCATAAAATAATGCAACTTTTTATTAACCCAAAATACACCATCTTTTATAACCAAATTATTACAATTTATTTATAACGTTGATATGTACACATAAATTCTTTGAATACATACCCAGTGATTCAAGAAGAAATTCGACCGCTCTTCCTTTGTCCCAATCAATTACCGGACGGACCTCTAAAACCTGTGGAAATTTGTAACCTCAAATGTTGACACCCTTGTGTGAAAAGTTTAGAAACATACATTCTTTTTTTTTTCCGTTTACCTTCCGTCCATGAGTTAGTCGCAAACGAGGATAATCCTTTAAGACATCATGAACACATTGTGCAACCGCAAGCCAACTCTGCAATTAGTATGACAATCAAAGTGTCATCAATTTCCATATAGTTGGATAAGCAAGACACTTTTAATGGAATCTGAAGTATTGTCCTCACCTTCTCATCTACGTTACGGTAATGTACAGAGGTACAAAATTTGTGATTTTCCACTTTTGTACCAGTAATAGCCTTAGTAACCTCGACAAGGGTTTTAAAAACCTGGTGTACAATTCCAGATTGTTATAAGTCTGTAAAAAGACAGTTTTCAACTAGATATCAGCTCGGACGAAATGTCACAAGATCACTCACCTTATCTATCATGGGTATAAACTCACTAGCAGGTTGGAACAAGTTCACTTCCTTTCCCTGCACAGCTCAAACATAAAAAAATAAAAAAAGGGTATTCAGAACAAGAAAAATTCACCAAATTTAGAAGCATTTTAAGAGAATATGATACCTGCTTGTCAGTAGATCTAACGTAACCCATATGGTCAATAGACGCTGTGTCCTGAACAGGAAACATGATATCCATACCATGACTACCAGCATAATACAGTTCTTCTATGCCTACTAACTCATGAACCTGAAGAGAATTGGTATACATTTATTAGCTACAACAGTTGAAGCAACTCCAAATTGTCATTTTGTCTCATATACCTTATCTCGGCTTCTTCCACTAATTATTGTTGTTGGAAAATACTCAGCAACACCTTTTACAGCAGAATGCATCTGAAAAGCCAGAGGTTTTTATGTTCATATGATGAAGAGAGAAAAAAAAGGCAGGGACCCCAATCTATTTGTGTAATTACTTACATCGGCAGACATAAAAGCACGATCAGGGTCATCTACAATTGGTGAGAGCGTCCCATCATAATCTAAGAAGATCACAATCTTTTTATCTTTTGCACGATTTATGATGTGATCAAAAGAGTTGAGGGCTGAGGGGTACTTAAGCTGCAAATAATAAAAAGTGGAAGAACAAACGTTAGACATAAGGGTACAGCTTGACAAAGAAAATGTATGTACTATCGCAGATGTTAAACATACCATCCAAGAGTTATAAACTATATCAATGTCATCAGATGCGTGCTCAACCACAAAATCCTTAACTATCTTCTTACGAGGAGGTGAAGAAGAATGCATAGCATCTAGCCAACCATTTGAGCGTACATCATCAAGCTTTCCGGGCTTCTTTCTTGGAGCTGTTAAAATACTCGAGGAGAATGAAGCTCCAGACTGTGAGCAAGGCATCATACTGGAATGAATCCCTAATCTAGACTTGTTTATAGGACCAGGATCGGCAAGAACAGGAGAAGCGTTTTTTGACTTCAAATCCATTGATCAAGGAGGACCAACTTATAGAGTAGAGTATGGTACTCAACAGCCAATACGGAAGAAAATGTGTAATCACTCTTTATCCAACTGTTTTATCAATAAAAAACCACCTCTTCAAAGTTTTCTTATCATTGGTGCTGGGTGAACTTTCCATTAAACACAAGCTTCCTGAAATCTGAAATACAGAATTCAAATGTTAAATAAGAGGTACCTTCTCACATTTAATTATGAAAGCAAATGAAAATGGTCTTTCTTAGTCATTGAAATTACTACTTTGACATACATCATTTTCAGAAGCTAAGCATTTATATCACACAAACAAAACTTAGAACAATGTTTACTCTTCAAAGCCCAGCAACATCAATCGTATCCCTTCCTGAAACACAGTAACAAGAGAGAGAAATATTAGTTATCCCACAAAAGCATGCAATTTCCTGTTATGGGTGAATGGTAAATTTTTTGTTCAATAAAGGCAAGATAACGACATTCTTAAAGTTCAAGTGCATTTAACCAAAAACAATGTTCTTGTAATGATTACATTGAGCACACAGTTAAGAGCACTTCTGAGAAAGCTATGTTATTGAAATGAGTATTGCTTCAGAAAGTAAAAGTTGGCTTTAACTACTATCAAAACAACTAGAAGTACCGAATACGGAAGCATAGTTCAACATAATAAGAGTCACACTCCAATCATTACATACAAACCAATTATGCTTTACATATAGAATAGCAATATATATGTCCACCACGGGATCAACGCCCCAACTCCAAATGTATTTGTTTTTGTATGTTTTTTACGCAGGAGAAAGCCTGATAACTGAAGTTCTTATCACAGCAAAACAAAATACTGGGGATTTTTAGAGGAAAATATTGATGCAGATTAAAGTTAGTAATTTATCAAAAGGTTTCCAAATAGGCACAAATGTGATGTAAAGTAGAAGAAGAAAAAACTATTACCTTGTTCAAATGTATGTAGAACTTAACTCCTGTGAAAATAATTATTATCCTTCATTACAAATAAAAGAAATATTCAAGATCACATAGAATGAAATATTTTAATTATTAAAGCACACAACCATGTACCTTTTTTAAGAATTATAATAACCTCCAAGGTTTCAACCAAACACACATGCATATAACAGGACACCACAAAGATTTTGCTTAACATAAATTTCAAATATCAGCAAGGTAGAAAGACACTATGTCAGATCCTTACTTTCCTTCAAATTAGAAGAAATAAAATAAAAAACTATCCTCGTACAAACACACCACACCTTGATCTGGAAACCCTATCCACAAAGACAACCTTCAAAAAAGATGTTAAGATCTATAGGGGATCTTTAATTGTTGAATTAGAAGTAGATCCAAAGATTCCATTAATAATATAAACAATAGCCTGATCAGTTAAAAGATCCATATCCATCGCCTTTTTGTGAAACTTATTCAATTAAACATGATAAATCTCCAACTAATCAGTGGATGAAGCACAAATTAATTGCCAAACGCTTGAACAATATTAGTTTAATTATTTCCATAATAAACAATTAACACTTTAATGTTGAACAGTGCCTTCACACTTGTCACATGACTCCGATGTGGACCCCGCAAAGTAGGAAATGTAATTGCTTCGTGGATCTACTATGGCTTGCTATCATAATATGAGTTGAAAGACAATTAATAATACTTATATTCACATAAGCTCCATAGGGAGAACACTTCCATAGAAAAATATAGAAAAAAATAGCATTATGACTCAGGTATCACCATGTTCTTTTCTCTTGATGTGACTTTACAACCACCATAAACCCGCAACCCTCGTGCTCTCGATATGTTTTAAAAACATCAAAAATGAAATTATCTTGTCTATTCAAGATCACAGTTAATATAAAATATATATAGCTAATAAACAAAACAGCAAGAAAAGGACAACCAAAATAATACAACTAGAACAGGGAGAAAACTTAAATGGCTAAATGTTGATTCAAGACCATCAAACAAGGAAAAAACATGAATAATTCTCCCTGAGATCAAACATGAAATTGGAGACTCACATCAAGACGTTTGGAGATTCAATAACGAAATTCACATACATATAAAAGACATGATCATTCCCCCATCAATCAGAAATTTTCAACATTAATAAAACAGAAACTAATATTTTTGTAATTGATCGTCTCGATCAACCATTTCCATGACTTCTTCTTATAAATTTCGAGCTAAAACTTCAAAGCTTACACAGCCTGGATATGCAGAGGATGAGAACAATTCGAAAATATTAGGCTATCACCTTGATCTCTTCCATTTCCATACGATAAAAAACTAATTTAACAGAAATTATTGACTAGACACACGTACGAGATATCAACATCTTTCAAAAGCTCACAATACCGCAACCGACAAACAGTACGTCCTTAATAAAGAGACGAGAGATTTAAGTTCAATTATGCTGTCAAAATCACCATACAACAAATTAAACCAGACATCGTCCGAACAGTTTCAGATCTCAAATAAAAAATTTAAAGAGCTTGATGATGACAAACAAATTAAAACAGCGAAAATAGGGGTATGAAATTGCAACAACAATGCACAAGGTAGTCGATAGAATTAAGGGATTAGGTGAAGTATATACCTGATGGAGAGTCGAAATCGAAGAGACAGAATGAAAGGGAAAAGATGAAGAAATTGGTAGGTGTGAAAAGAGATCGAGGAGATGGAGGAAAGGAAGGAGAAATAGCAGGAGATGGAGAGGGTATTTATAGAGTTTCATAGTCCTAAAAAAGACGTGCCAAACAAGGCAACTATCTCCCCCTCCTTCACTCTGCTCTCTTTGGTTTTTAGTTATTCTTATACTTTCACCAAATAAACCATTGTTTTTCCAAATACGTCAATATTTTTATTCAATTTTTATTTTATTTTTAATAAAAAACATCATCTCCAATAACTATATTAAAATAAAGATTTTACAATTTATTTGCTTTGATATCATAATCCATGTTGGATTTTTTTAAGATAGAAAAATAGTTGGAGATTAATGTAATTTTTTTAGAGATTTTTATTTTTATTTTTTATTTTAAAGAAATTTTAAATAATCTATTAGAGATACTCTTACCTCATTAAACAAAATAAATTATTTCAAAATAAATATTTTACAAATTAACCGGGTGACATCTTTTATTTTCTAATTTTTATAAAAATATATCCCAAAAATAAAACGTAAGTTTGATGTCACGAAATGATAAACAATAACCGAAATAAGCTATTGCGTCACGGTTGACGTAATTATGACATGAACATTGCATACGTGTCATATAAACTTGACGTGGAACGTCTCTCATTGCGACATGTGGCAAGAAACACGTGAGGAGCATACGGCAAGATGGAAGACCGTCACGAAATGCGGTGGTGTTGGCGATGGTTAGGAGTTATCTTGGATGTCGCGTGAGTGGTCACGTGACCCACGGTCCAAACTGGACTCTTTTCATGCCATTGGATTAAAGTATTTAGCAGAACATTGGAAACAGAAACGGAAGTAAGTGACGGTTGGTCGCTTTTCCGTCGATCACGGCGGCGGAATCTTCTAGATCCACCAAGTTCCATGCCTTTCCCGGACGTTCACTCGTGACTACCATTACTTTACTTTTGTTATTTCTTTCCCTTTTTTTTTAATAATATTTCTTTTATTTAACACAATTTCACAAATAATAATTTTTGTTTTATTTAACAAAAAAATTTAGCTTATTTTTTAACCTCATGCTAAATTTTTTTGTTACAAGACTTTACTCTGTATATTTTATTTTGTCTCAAAATAAATGTTCGTTTCTATATTATCAAGGGTAAAAATGTCATTTACTCTATTAAAAAATGTAATAATTATACATTTCTAAAACTTTGTATTATTTTTATCGTGGATAATATATAAAGGTTAAGCATTATACTTTTTGAACAAATATGTCGATATTTTTTTGCTGTTAAAAATATATATAAAGCATTTAATTCATCTTAGCTGTACAAACTATCATTTAAAATAATGTTATGAAGTAAAGTCAGTGTTACTATAGTAAAGGGTAAGATGTAGTGGGATTGCTAAGCATTTTAAATAGGTTTGACCGTAATGATATGGATAGCATCTAATGAGATTTGAACAGAAAGTTGAATGCTTTAGAAGACACCAATTTGTAGTAATGAATCACCATTACATCAACCACTTGGATTTTTGCACTGTGACTGGTACATAGTGTTTGTTAAGTATGTTCATTCATGAACAATAGTACGTAAGTTGTCATTGGATGCTCTTCTATGTGTGCAGTATTCATTTGTCCTTATAGTACTATAGCTTTATTCATATTTACAACTTTCTTTGCAACTACTAAATTACTGGTCTTAACCTCAGTATGTTCCTTTACGAAATTACAAGATCCATTTTGTTTTGTTTCAAGTTGTACCTCACAACTATTTACTGCATTTAAATGTTTTAGTTGGTATTTTGGTCCTTTCCCTTGTTTGGTTTCAATTTCAAAGTATGTTTGTTGTTTCCCTTTCTGATATATTTATTTAATCTTTTTTTTGTCAATAATATGCATCGTTTTATCTGACTTATAGTTTTAACATGAAACTTATTCGATAACTGAAAGATACAGTTTCAGAAAAAAGTCTTGAACAGATAAAGTGATTTGTATTAGATTATGGCCATATAAGATAAAGCATTATACTTTAATGACATTATGTGGGTGATCTATGCTCTTTTCAATCCATAAAAAGTTTCATTATCAAGATACATAAAATCTTAAGGAATCCCACATCATTGAAGAACATAGTGGATATTAGTAAGTCTGATAAGAACGTCAGTATTATAAGTGAAGGAGCTTATGACAACTAATTAATCTCATACAAATAGAAAGTCATATCTGTGAGCGCCTTATAAAGACATAAGTTGTGGGTTACATATAACTTTAAACTAGTTATATGTTGATTTTAGAAGCTATTAAACTAATCTATTGCTTTTTTTAGGGTGTTACACAATGATATCAGAATTGATCCTTCTACTATATATCAGGATGGTGGGGGCAAACCTCATCTAATATGACGAGTCTATAAGGGGGTGTTTGTAACATTTTATATGAATCCTATATCAATGATGAATAAGGAAGATGCTCAGTGGACCAGACAAAGACATCATAAATTGAACTGGAGTTTGTGACTTGTCCAACATAATTACTTGGGTGAGCTATATGAGCTCTTTATAATAACTTTCATTTTAAGTTGACTTAGAACTTATTGAATTAGTATAATATTAGTTCAAAATTTTATTACAGTTTTTTTAATTCCTATTAACACTTAAATCTTTTGGTTGTTTATTTTGCCTAATTAAATTATTATTTAAGAGAATATGATTAAACATTGTTACTTAAAATACTATATATTGAACCCTTTTAATTCAATTACTACTTGCGGTATCATTAATAGGGAATAACAAATATGGTACGTCCTATCTTTTGTTCGGTTTATTTCTTCTTATGTCAAAATCTTTCGTAATATTGGAAAAATTGGACAATGTCTCGATTTTCACGGTATATGAGAAAAAGATAGATGTGACAGGTGTTTTGTTTGTGTGCACGAGATGAGAGTGCGAGCAGCAAGGACAACACACATAAATATGTATAGGTTTGTTTCAACATCAAAGAAATTATTTATATATATTGTTCAAATAATTGATATTATTCCACACATAACAATCCAATAATACCATAACGAGGCACGGAAATTTAAATATTCATGGTCTGTTTGGTTTATGATTGTTTTTGAGGGATTTAGATTTCATTAGATTGGGAGGAATCAAATTTATTGGAATGGATTTGAAATCACTAGTGTTTTGGTTTATAGGATTTGGAATTGAATTTTTTTTCATTATTTATAAATAATTACAAAAATAATTAAATTACATTTTTATTAATCGATTTATTACAAAACAAATGTTTTTGATATTTTTTAAAATCATAGTCTACAATCCTATGAAATTCCGTAAAATTCCGAGCACCCCTAAGAATTTCAAAACCCTATATTTGTAGGATTTTAATTAAATTCAAGGATTTCAAATCTGAACAACCCAACAAACCAAACATCAGATTGAAATGGATTTGAAATCCAAATCCCTTTAAATAATTCTTTGTTTGTTCGGTTATATAAATAAATTATGCACAGATATTTCCATGAAATTCTTATTGCATTTATTTTAATCACAAAATTGTTTTATTTTATTTAAATGTTTATAAATTTATAATAATAATAATAAGATATAAATTTACCACAAAATCATATTAATCAAACAAATAGATAATTTTAGTGTAAGTTTAAAATTATGGTAAGAATTGTGAGAATGATTCTGAATCTTTAGATATATTATTTTTTGATTTAATTTAATTTTTTTAATTATTTTAAGTAATTTCAACTACATTCATCTATTTTTATATTGATTTTAATGTAATTTTTTCGTTTATGATGATAAAAATAAGTAAATAAAGGAAGTTGAATGTTTTATTCTTTTGTTTTTTTATTGTAACTTTTATCTTCACCAAAACCCGATAATTTTAACTTAACATAAAATTTATTAAACAAAAAAGTTAAAGTTAGTATAATTAAAAAAGAATATGCTAATGAATTTGTATGAGTATTAAATAAATTGATGTCGTTTTATTATATATATTTTTAAGGTTTATTTTTAACATAAATCTTATCACCCCTTTTGATTTGACAGACAGTCACTAAAAAGATGCCATGAGAGATCCATTTCGTTGTCTCGACCACATTTTTCTTTGTCAGGATAAGGGTGAATTCGGGTTGGGTTGAGTCGTTTACAACATTTTTACAATCTAACTTGATTATGGTGGTTTGGAAAAATCTCAACCTAACTCAACTAATTCAAAAGTATAACCCAACCCTTGCGGGTTGAGGCGGGTTGGGTTGGGTTGGCGGGTTAGTAGTTACATTAATTTGACGAATGAAATAATTCATAAAACTTAAGTTTATAGACCATATTATAAAGCGTCATATCTAAAAAGGTTACAATATGTTTACATGACGTTTTTGAACACTTCAACAAGTGTTTTAAAATGATCTTTAAAAAAATGTCGTATTAGTTATTTTATATAAATATTTTGAGAAGTGCCCCTAAAACTCATCAATTTATAGGACACCTATGTTCATATACACTTTTCAAGTCGTGTCGTATAAAATAACTAATATGATACCTTATTTTAAAAGCGTCGTAGAATTTGTTAGGACGCCCAAAATCATCCTATAAACATATTGTAACTCTTTTAGATAAAACATTTTTCTTGTTTCGTCCTATAAAGAATCATATTAGGATGCTTAGACATTTTAGGCATACTATAAGATCTAATGTTGTTGTAGCGAAATGTTATAACTAAACATTTTATTTCCACAAAAGTACAACATCAAATGATGGGGTATTTAGATTGATGGATTCGTCAACAAAATGTCTATTAGTATCATTCATATTCTCCCACATATCAATTTATTGTTGCTGCAAAAAAGATTTCAATAATTTTCTCTTATTAATTAGATTATTTATCATTATTCTTTGATCATGAATCTCTTTTGGTAACCTATACGTTTAGCTAAAATGAAATACAAACATAATATCAAAAAAAATTATACATTATTAATATATATATATATATATACATAATAAACATATATATATATATATATATATATATAAATACAATTTTATAAAAATTAAATATTAACGGCGGTTTGGTGGGTTGTTTCA